CTTAAATAATTTTGATATTAATATAATGATTTATCATGGTATCCAACAGTCTTCGAATATTCTTGAATTCTAGAATTATACTGATATTTTATATATTCTGAAAAATCCCTGAAATTTCAGGATTGATCTGAAATTTATCATTTTTTTCATTCTAAAAGAGTTAGAGCAAAAAAAATAATAAAAAAAAGTTTGAACACAAATCCTTCCTTAAAGATGTAATAAATCATCAATAGGAAACTTGAATTTAATGTCTAAAATAGGACATAGTAGAAAAATTGTTTGTGTTAATGTTCGTTTATAAAATAATAAATAATATTGTTCCCAATTTGTTAGCATTTTAATTCATTCATGTAGAATTCTAATATTGAATTGAATACAAAGCATATAATATTGCACGAATTGATAAACATTAATTAAATAACGAAAATTAATCGATGGATAAATTCTGGAAAAACCAGGATTTTTTCTGGGTTGTCCTGGAATTATCCTTGAATTAACTAGCCAGACACCGTGCTTTATGTTCTGCTTGGGTAGATTTTCAGTACTGGTAGTGTATATCGGAATACCATTGTTCACGGCCATTGTTTCACGGAAAAAATACAGTAGATGAGGCTAGAATGACAAGAAGGAGAACCCTTCTACAAGATCTTCTGTAGCAGCTTCCTCCAAGTCAATCTGGAGCAACCTCCCTTTTCCATTAATGGCTGTCATTTAGTCGGTGTCACCCCTAGTATCCTACAGCATCCGTGTTGCCGCTTCATGTCGCGTGCAATCTTTTGAATGTCCCTCGAAGATGAATTCTCAGCGTCATTAGCAGAGTGTCTCTTGGCCTCGATCCAAGTCATTCTTCGTCCGTCTTCCTCTTTCTTCTTCGAGCGTGGAATTCTTCGCAATTTCTCCTCTGCTGGCTCCACCTTGCCACCACGTTCGCTTCCTCAGCTTGCCTTCCTTCCTTGCGCCAGGTGTGATCATTAATTTTACAGCGCGATGGAAAAAGAATGGCGGGGGACGAACAAAGGAATAGAATCCATCCGCTCGCTTATTCGTTCATCGAAGCGAAGGAAGAAAATGAGGATCTTTGCAAGACAATTGTTCGCGAAGGTGAAATAAAACCGCGATGGTACTGCAGTGACGGATGTAGCTGTGAGACTGAGAAAATATTTATCGACTTACACAATGAAAGGGAAAATATTTCAGAAATATATTCCAAAAATATACATAAATATTTCTGAACATATAACAAATATGCGAAATGAAAAAAGATATTACATGAATAAAATTTATTTTACAAAATTAATTACAATATTTCAGAATAACGCAATCTCGAAATTTCTTTTGAATTGTTGAAAGCTCTTAAAAAATAATTGAATTTTCGTCGGCTTTTTTATGCTCAGCTACCAGAAAATGATATTATTTATATATGTCTTTTTTACGACAGGTCGGGTGGCTCCTCCAGCGCATCAAGCGCTGGTACGGGATCGTCGACCGGTGGAGGTCCTGGGAACCCGGCAGGAGGTGGCAGGATGGCCGTCATCGGCGTGACCAGAAATGTACGACTGAGGCGTCGCGGTAATGCTGGTTTTGGTTTCTCATTACGAGGTGGACGCGAATACGCCGCCGGATTTTACGTCAGTGATGTTCAACCGGGTGGCGAGGCTCATAGAAATGGATTAAGGGTATTTATTTCTAATCATTGTCTTCTTTCGTTGCACCAATCTGCACATAAATTTATTTTCTAAAACTTTTAAAATGAATTTTTATTCTAAAGAATGAAATCTTTTAAAAGTTGAAAATTGAATCATCTTAGAATTACTTTCTAACATATTCATCTTGTATTAAATTGACACAAAAATTTTAATGGACCGTTTAAAACACGTGAAGTGTCAAATTTAATACCAACAATTTACCGATTTTTATCAATTTAATACCAATTTTTTAATCAACATCGTGCTTAATGATTTTGCTTTCGGCTTGCCACTTTCAGATAGGCGATCAAATCCTGAGGGTAAACGGTTATCCGGTGGAGGACGCCGTCCACCAGGAGGTCGCGCTCCTGGCAAAAAATCAGCAAGTCCTGGTGCTCAAAATTCGAAGTAACTATCTCGTCTCCATCTTAATTATCTTTAATATAAATATAAGTTATATAGCAAAATATAAGTTACGTCTTTCGGATGTAACTTTCATTCCATGTGCCGCGTAGAGATAGCCTCGCGATCGGATGGAAAAATAATTAATAACAGTAATACTCGCGGCGCGTTGCAATAATCTCTATCTCGTTGCTGATAGCGGTAATTTATGGCTTTCGATTTGTATTGCAGGCGTTGGGATGATACCCGTAAAAGAGTAAGTATCGAAACTTAATTAAAACCTTGCGCGCACCATGCGTACGTGCGTTTCCTCTTCTTTCCACGATCGATATCCTCTCGTTATAAAAATCTCTTATAATTCTTGTAAAGCAATCCAAACGATCCGGTTACCTGGCACATGGTGCAGCAACAGCAACAGCAGCTGCAATACAACGAAACTGGTTTAAGTGGTGTACCAAGCGCAGAAGTCAGAATTCGGATTCTCGTCGGCGAGAAAGGCCGTCTGGGCTGCGGCGTTTGCAGAGGCATCGTACCTGGTCTCACTGTTCAAGTTAATATCATTTCTAATTGGACGTAGTCATGTCATATGAAACATCTGATATTCGTGAGATTTTTCCCTCGATTTCGCGAAGATTAATCTGTGTTGATAAAAATCTCTTTTTTTAAGAATTATTCCTAAAACTATTTCAATAAAAATAAACTTATAAGATTTTTTAACCAAGAAATAGTCACCTCATTTCTTTACGATTTTAAACAATTATCTGAGGGTATTTTTTACACTCCAATTAAAAGTCACTCTATTATTATATTAATATTAATTAAATAACCTATTGTATATTATTAATTGTTCTACGATTTATTGTATTAGTATTTGAGATCATTATGTATATAGATTTACTTCCTAAAAAAATACTTTTTAAAAAAAATTAGGAGAAATTTAAAAAAATGAGTATGGATTCCTAATTAATAACTAACTAACGGGAGCCTATCTAAGTTAGGAAAACTATTACGATTAAGCTGCATTTTTTGCTATTGGCATATAAAAATCACTCCTATTTCTGGGTTAATTAATATAAATATACATATATTAAAAACCAAAATATATCAGTTAAAATAAATTCGAATAAAGTAACAAGGTTCATCTATTCTGAATTCGCATGTATGAAATTCGACATTTTTAAAAAGCTCGCATTCTATGCGAAATGAATGCTTGGAGGACATTAGTTTTGCTTACAAAAAGTACACCTTTAGGGCACGAGGGAAGGCGGTCCCGCGCGAGCGGCAGGTTTGAAGGCCGGCGACGTGATAATCTGGTGCAACGGACAACGACTTACCGATCTTCCATTCGAACGAGCCATTGAAGTGATGCGCAGCTCGGCGATTCTCGACCTCGTGGTACAACGACCCACGTCTCCCAATCACTTTTACGACTGTCCCGAGCCATTGTGGACCCGCGGCTCCAGCGGCTACGATTCCGAAACGTCCAGCGTGGCAGCTGCGAGTCCGCCACCGCAGCATCAAAACAACTCGTCGTCCTCGCCACAGCATCATCACCACGACGGCAGGATGCATCAGCGATATCCGCGCGACGATGCCTGCAACAGAAATGGCAGGTCAGTTGCAATATAACTTCGATTAAAGAACTTCCTACAAAAACGTTGCAATACTTGTCATTATCGTTTTTATGAAAAGTGATATTTTAATAGGAAAATATTGCTTGTGTGGTGGCTATACTGTTTTTAATTAGAAAAATATTGGATGCAATGTTTTCTCAGGAAACCCTTCAATTATTTTATCAAAAGACCGTTTCTGATTAATTAATTTCGAATTTTAAATGAGTCATTAAACTCATTTTTAATTAAACAAGCATTAAGTTAATTCTAGAATGCTATTGAGTGTGATTACTACTAATGTATAAAGTATGTAAAAAGAGGAATTAGGACATTCCTAATATAACATAAGATTTTCATTTCACACTCTTAATGACATAATATTTATATAATCTAGACTTTGGTAAACACAAATCTAATTATTAACTTAAAAAGAAAGAAATAGTAACATTATCAAATTAAATCTTGCTGATCATTGAAAGCATAGCTTAATTAATGCTCAATGATTTCGTTCATTTGCACATCAAACTTAGTAGAATTAATACGCCCATCGCGTAATTTTTCAGAGCGATGTACCAATTATAATAATAACGGATTGCCTATGGTACACGCTATGCACATATCTTTTCCAGTGGCTAACCGTTATCGAGTGGCATCAATGAATTTACACTGGGAGAAAGTCGGTCCATTAATAGGACACGCGACGATAACGATCATAGAGTCCGCCGCAGTTTGAATTCCTTACCGCCACGTATATTAACATTCATCCTGTTCCTTGTTTTCCTCGGTATTCCTTGGTGGTAAAAACGCGCGTCCCATGAATTCCACTCTTTAGAAATCGGTACGCCTTGTATAATCAGACAGATCCCGCTTTATTTCCGTGTATGACGTTATAGGATATGCTGCCCCCTCGCCCTGTCGACCACCAGCTGCAGTTCTTCGGAGTGGGCGCACGTGGATCAGGTAAAGAATTTTAAAATAGAATATCTTGTTTCATATATTAATGCGCAATATAAAACTCCAAGAGTTTATTTCTTGTTGCACTAAGCAATTTTTTTCGAGAAGAAAACAGATATAAATTAAATTTTGCTTTAGTAGACTTTGAGAATTTTGACTCATGAATTTTAAATTCTTCATATACCTTTTTTACTTCAGTTTGTACTTCTTATCAAAGTATCGTTGTAATATACCATATTACCCTATTGGCAGCGCGTTCTACGCGATAAGAAACAGTGCAGTAGCTTATCAGCTTTTACCGCTATGCATCGACACATATATTATTTCTAGAAAAGCAGAGCATATACAATAAATATTTGAAAATTTATGTTACATTAACTGTAAAATTTCTATTAAATTAATTACTTTTGATTAATAATTACCATTAATTGTATAAAATCCATATTGATTATATTTTTTTTATAAATTAAATTCTACTTATCATATAAAAAATAATAATCATTGAATTATAATAATCACTAGAATAATTAATAATTACATTAACTACTCTTGAATAATTACATTAATTGTATATAATTCTACTAATTATATTCTTTATAAAATTTTTTATTAAACTCTATTATGTAAAAAATAATTGAATTATATAATAATCAATGGAAAAAATCTTCTTTTAAATCAAATAAAATACTTAATTTTTCCCGGCTTTTGCACTTATCTGTTAATATTTGTGTATTAATTATAAAATATTAATATAGTAATGTGTGTGCGTGCGCGCGCGCGCGCGCGCGTGTGTGTGTGTGTGTGTGTGTGTGTGTATGTGTGTTCTGAGTTATCCACTTTCTTTTTTACGTATTAATTTCAAAGTATAAAATCTGATCTACAATTGCGTAAACGTAATTGTAAGTGGTTCACAATTAGTTATAACCATTACAGTCGGATAGTTCTCCTCGTATTCAAGTGTGGTTGTTCAATTTTTACAACTACAATTACGTTTACGCAAGAGAACTTAAGATCGCTTAAAAGACAGAGATGCAATGTCTCTTTCTCATGGGGATTTAATTTGATCGTTTTCTAGGCGCCGGAATGGTCGCGTAAACCGAATAATACAACCGTGATTCGTGTTAATCAGAGCTCGAACCAGAACCAGAATCATCGGCCTATACTGGGCGGGCAATATCATTTCAATCCGCGTGGCAATTACGATGATGACATCGACAACGAGCCACTTTACGACCCCGTGGCGCCCAGGATTGACTATGAGGTGCATGATTTCGACGCGAATCCACGAGACGAAGCTAATCGGCGGCTGGCTTATCGGCGAGATAACGCGAGGCAGCAGGACGTAATTTATGACGGGCCTGCGGATGACTTACCCATGTATCATGGCTCCAAAGTAAGAAGATCTACTTTCGTTATCACGCCATTTTTCATCTTGAAATGTTGCCTCGTTAAGTAATCGGATAATTAAATATACAAGCAAGATATGTTACGTGCCGCGAATAATTTTCTGCATCAGGAAAACGACCAAGCGGTCGGCAATCGATTGACGGATCTGCAACTCATGCAGCGACAAAGCGAAGCCGAGAGGAAGACGATAACGACTGTAGAGGTGCATCAGTCGGTTTGTCCACCTGCACCTCCGCCGCCGCTTCCTTACAAATGGCCAGCAGGTTTGACGGCTTTTCTCGCAGCATCGTTAGAATAATAACTGACCGCGTTTGCTCGAGCGCCAAGTCGAAGGAAGTCCTCTTTCCGCTATCCATTCGTTTGAAAACATAAATATTTCTTCACTTTTTTTAATAAATAAAATACATATCCTCTCACTAAAAGAATTAAAAATATTTTTACACTGTTCTTTCTTAGATTAATAGAGACATAATTTGATTTAAAGCTTGTACATAACAAATTAAATTAAGTTAAATTAAATTAATAATGTGATTTAAGGCTCAAATAGATTATAAATTAAATAAAGAATTGAAAACATTGTTTTTATACATGAGTTTTATTATTTGTATATATATAATTTT